AGTAACCAGAGAACATTATATATGTGCATGAATTTATCTAATAACAAAATTAATCAATAAAAAAGTGTCAAGTTTATCCCTAAGGTAGAAGCCACCAAGTGATGGCTATCATGAGACTCACAGCCTCATAATTTCTTAGCTTCCACTCCCATCCTTCCAATGCACGAGGGGCCACTGGGAAATTCTATGAGATACCATTACCACACAACACACACCAAGATGGGAGTGAGGTTTGCACTAGAAGTCTGTGCTGGTCCAACTCTCACAGGACAGCTCCATAGCATTTCCACACAGCAGACCCAAGGCTTAGTCTTTATTTTTATTTTTGAGACAGCATCTTTCTGTGTTGCCCAGGCTGGCCTTGGAACTGGAGACACTCAGCCTCTGCTTTCTGAGTGCTGGGATTATAGGCATTTGTACCATTTTTATTCTTAAAGTGAGCACACTATATTTGTCATTGCCTGAGTAAACCCATCCAGTGCCCCCTCCTTGACCTCAGGATTAAATTCAAACTTGTTAGTTTTGCTTAAAGGGCAGTTTATGATGATCTCTGCCCCCTGCTGCACCCTTATCCCCTCCCCTTACCTTTCCTTGTCACAGAGTCTGTGGTACTTAATACTATGTGTCAACCTGACTAGGCAGTGGGGTGCCTGGCTAGTGATCAAACATGGTTCTGGTTATTTCTGGGGAGGTATTTTGGGATGTGATTACCATTTAAATCATGGACTCTCTGATGCATAATACACCCTATCCAGTCAACCAAAGGCTGGAATGGAACAAGAGGTTGACCTTCCCTTTTGGTAAGAGAACTCATTTGCTCGACAGCCTTCAGGCTGGGACATGAGTCCTGCTGATCTTGAATTTGCCAGCCTCTGGAATTACACAAGTCATTTCCATATAATGAATGTCTCCCCAAGAATAAGTCCGATTGATTCTGTTTCTCTGGAGAGCCCTGACACATGGACTTGGGGAGCAGGAAGCAGAGATGCCCAGGTTTCCTGCCTTGTTTTCCACTAAATTATTTTTTAAAAACTATTTATTTTACTTTTAATTTTGTGCGCGCGTGTGTGTGTGTGTGTGTGTGTGTGTGTGTGTGTGTGTGAGTGTAGGTGCCTGTGGAGGACAAAACAGTTGTCAGATCCCCTGAAGAGAAGTTGTGAGCCACTAAGGGATCCAAACTCAAGACCTTTGGAAGGACAGTATGTACTGTTAACCATAGAGTCATCTCTCCAGCCTTCTTCTGAGTTCTTAGTGTTTAACACCAAGTCTAGTACAGTAAAGGCTTCTTAAATTTACATTGAAAAAATAAGATATTATATATGCATGGTTATAAACCTTTTAGACACACAGAAAGTGTCATGAAGAAGTGATACCAAAATCACAGAAGTGCTTACAGTAAGCTTAAGTATGGGTTTCTTCATCTGTTCTCTATTGCCTGTGTGTCTGTAGTATAAGTAAATGCATAACCTTTCAATTATTGACCTTTAAGAAGTATGGCTTAAAGTAGATGTGTGATACCTGGAGGATTGGGAGAAATGCTATGAGGTGCAACCCTCTGAATAGGACATGGCCATCATGAGCACACAGCAACTATGGTGGCCCGAACAAGCCCATACAGATTGGGCCCTCCAACATTCCATCTCGGTTGAAGGGAGGACTTATGAGCCAATCCACCCCCAGGTCCCCAAGGGGCTCTTGGCAGTTAACAGTAACCATGTCTCTGTGGTATAGCCATGGAAACTTGTCCACACTCCAGCAAATAACCCTCTACCTATGGTTATGCAAGTAACTGTAATTAAACCCAGTGAGTTGCAGAAAAGATATGAATGCAGGAGGAACTCTAGTTAGGAAGAATGAAAGGGCCAGCAGGAGTGAGAGGAGGATAAAAGAGGACAGTGAAGAAGAATATGATTACAATGCCTTGTCTATGAAATGGTCAAAGATGTTTTAATATCCTGCAACCATTTTTTTAAAAAGTACAAGTGACATACTATTTCAACGCCCAGTGCTAAGATGACTTATTTCAACCTATATCGCAAAGGAATTGCTCTAGGGACAATGATTCCTGAGGGTGCCCCAAAGCTGCCCCTGATGTGATTTGACCTACATGCTGTCAGTTGGGGGGAGGGGCATGGCCTCACAGGGGGACAGTTCATTACTGCTCTGTTAGGCTTCAGTAATGAGCACACTAGTCACTTTGGCAAGTAGCCATGATCCAGGTGGCCTGTCTGCCCTGAGGATGCAGGTTACAAAGATGTCCCATTGTTTCGTTGCTGGGTAGCTTTCATCAAGTTGAAGTTACCTAGCATTTTCCAAACATTCCTAGCATCACTCAAGGGGACGGAGAATGCCAAATAACTGAGGCCATTTTCTCTAGGTCTAAAGAGTCAGATACTTAAGTGTCGTCGGTTGTTAGCTAAAGAGCCGGACCACACCTGGGGTCTTGGAATAGGTGCTAGTTCTGGAGCTCGTGTTGGAGAACTGTGGAAATTAAAGGGTGATGTAGTGGGTTTGGGATAGAGGGATGAGAAGGTGGTAACCAAGAAAGCTAACATACATGGAGCTCCAGATGGTACAGGTGCTATGCAACATTCTTTACCTTCTGGAAAGCTCCTATCTACCCTCTGTTCAGGCTGCAGAGCCACCTCCTACTGTAAAGGCTACAGGTGCCAGACGCCTCCTTCCTTAGACCCCTCTGTGGCTAGAATACATATGTGACTTCCCCACCCAGATTCGTGGCCAAAGTTCAGTCACCTCATAAAGCAAGCAAGAATTTGGTTCATCTCTAGGAGTCCATTAAGTGTTATTAGTTCTAGCATTGTTCAAACAAAGTCCAAAGTATGCCTTCAGATGCAAGGTAATCTCTCAACTGTAACCCAATATACAATAGAGTTTGTATCCATCCTGTATACAATGGCATGGAGTAAACATCCCCACTCCAAAGTGAGGATGTCACGGGAACATCAGACCAAAGCAATCCCAAAACCCAGTCATGGAAACACAAAAACCTGCAACTTTACATGGTCAGGCTAGGAACAAAGTGTGGCAGAATTGTGCACGTGATTCTTGATTTACAACCATGTAAAATGAAGATGTTATAAGACCATGACTGCACTGGGGTTCCTGAAAGCTGCAGAGACCAGGCAATATATGACGTGGTTTGATTCCGTGCAATGAGGCGGTTCTCAACCTATGGGTTGAAACTCATTTGAGGATCAAATGGCCCTTTCCCAGGGGTCACCTAAGACCATCTGCATATCAAATATTTACATTATGATTCCTAACAGTAGCAAAATTACAATTCAACTCCAAGTCTCTACTCACGGTCACTGAGCTGGCTCCTGGTCCCTTGTGTCACCTTTCTCCTGTCACCTCCTCCTCTCATTCCCTACTCTCCTGCCATATTGCCTGTGTTTCCGACCCCTGGAATCCATTGGGTTTTCCCTCTGCCCAGAAAGTTTTGCACCTTGGACTGGCACTGTCTCACAATGTGCATAGATACCCACTAGCTGTCCATTGCTAGAACCTCCTGCTACAGAGATCATCTGCTCTACTTATTCAGTTGACTCCATATTGTACTGAAGGGTCCATGGGAGGAAAGTCCTTACATGGTCAAGTTTATCCTCGAGTTCTATCCTAGAACAGTGTTACTTTATCATGAGTACTGGGTGAGGGGATGGAGTTCTTCGGGGAATTGGCTGTATGACAGGTTTAAAGTTCTCCAAATTCATATGGCGAAAACCCTTGTAGACCTATATAACATTGATGGTGGTGGTGGTGATGGCATCAGTGGTGGGGAAAACACACATGGCAGAGAAAAAGCCCTCACTAAGCGATGTTCTTTCTGCCATTAATGTTTTGTAGACTACTTGATGCTCAGTCAGCTAGCTCTGCCCAGTGAGGTAAGTTATAGTTCACATTTGTCTCTTTTAGGAGGCGGCGATGAAACCCCCTAGGTGGGCTTCTGGGAGTGTTCCATGCGACACACTTATGAAGTGCTAGGCTTCCGAGGAGCTTTGAGGAGCATAGGCCTAGTCCGCTCCTCATCACTTGCCCTATGGGAAGAAAATAGCTTGAGAGTGAAGTTCAGTTCACTGAGTAAAAGCAGTGGGATTTGGGGGCTTAGATGCTACTGTGTCAATACCCAGTCTGTCCTCACTAATGTAATGGCATGTACATCTCGAACCTTACTGCATTCCAAGACTTTTGCTTACGTGATCTCACTTGCTTTTTTCAGTATATAAGGCAGATTTGATTACTATTCTTATTTTGCAGAGAAGAGAACAAAGAGATTTAAAAAAGGAGGAACAACTTGCCCAAAATCTGTTAGACAAAAATGGAAGATTTTAAAATCTGAATCCAGGCAGTCTGACCTCAGAGTCTAGGCTTCTAATCACTGACCCATGCATTTAAGCAACATTCCATTTCATGCCTTCAGTTGTTTCAACAGCAGAGATGAAGCATAAAATCTCATTGCTGTGAAGAAATGTCTCCCCATGGTTATCAGAAGAACATCTTTGAGATAAACCCACTTAAGGGGATGCTGTCCTGACGGGTTCCTCTTTGTCTTTGAAGCACTAATTGAATGATCCTGGAAGCAGTTCTCTTTCTTGGAGCCTGTCTGCCATTCTGTCTGCTAATTTTAAAATGTATGGCTCTCTCTGTGCTAGACCCGAGGCCATATTGATTCTTGAATATGCGCCACTAATTGCTGAGTGCCTGCCTCTACCAAGCAAGAACAGGGATGAAAAAAAAAAGCTTGCATGTCAATATTTGTTACTAACCTTGACAAATAATCATTTTAAGTGATGGTGACTTTTTCCTCCTCTAAAGCTTTAATTACTGGCTTGCACACACTGCAATCATTTTGTTCTTGTGTGTGTCTAATAGTCTGTAATCCATTTTAATTACATTCTTTGCTTATCAAGATTAGACTTCCAAACAAGGATAGAACAAAATTTAACTTCTGCCTTTTCTCTGTTTCATTCTCCTAGTCAGTGCCTCAAAAACACTCAGGGATTTGAAACCAGCTTAAAGATAAATTTTGCTCTTTGTGCTTAACGCAAGCAAAGAGAACGATTCCTAAGTCTCTGGGTGCCTTTTTCCAATCTGTTGGTTCGTTGACGAGAAGGGATGGACACATTTACTTGCTCTATTAAACTTGGAATGAGAAACTTGTGGAGAACTTTGACAGGACACAAGCGGGAGAGAGAAGTCTCTCTTTTCATCTGGGTGGTAAGTGGAAAGGTGTGGTGTTAAAATCCATTGGCTTTGTGCATTTTATGTTTTGTGTATCTTTCCATACATGAGCTACAATCCCATGAAAATATTATGTAATTTTATATCATATAAAAAATCAGGACTGGATGATCCTCAGGGTTGCTCTGTCATCTAAGTGTGACTAAACACTTCTTGTGTCTGCCTAACATCTAACATTCTTACTTACTAGGTGTGGGCCCACTAGAAAAGAAACCGGAGGGATCTAGGCGGTCCCACAGAAAGACTGTGTGACTTCCCTAACAGTCCCCATGCATAAATCCCCACGCAGTGACTGGGAAATGCAGCCTGACTAGAAGGCAGATCTGGTAAAGCCCCAGCTAGTTCAGATGGAGGTGCAGAGAAACACTGTCCACCCCAGGAGTGCGTCACCCTGAGCAGGAACGGGCAGAGCCAGGGTGAGCACGCTACGGGTCTGCCTCCAAGCTCCCTGCAGGAATGTGTTTCAGAGCCCGGAACTGGAGCGATGGGAATGGCAGGCTTTGCCACTAGGCAGTTCCTTTTTCATGAAAGGTATACTATAAATATGTCACAACTGGAGAGGAAATGCCCTTTTCTGGTGGCCAGCAAACCTGCCTTCAGAGTTGTGGACGCCATGTTTAACGTTTGACCCCAGAAACATGGTGGGCCTGACTTCCTTCAGTGCCCTTCAATCTCCGAATCTGTCCCTTGTCCTATGATTGTCTCTGGGCCACTTTGAGACCGTTTAGTTTTATTCACTAGAACCTCTTTTTAATTTCTAATGGAACCTCTTTTTTAGTCTTTCTAACGGAAGATTCCAGTTTTGTGTAGACATCCGACTTATGCCCTCCTCGCCCCTCCACCTCCCTCCTCTTCCCCCCTGCTGTATTTCTATGTGGTCAGCTGCATTTCCTGTTTCCATTGCTTCACCTCTGTGATTAGCTGCATTCCTAATCAGAGTGAAGGGAGAGTTCTCCGCTGGACACACCCCCCTCAGCCTGTGCCCTCCCCTGCCTTCCCCACCCCTCCACTCCTTTGATGGAGAGTGACTGGGAGGACACAGAGTTAAGAGTTCAGTTGACACTGTGAAGGGAGAGCCTGGAGCAATTAAAACCCTTGTGGGAAGCTCGAGAACAAAGCTAACCCCGTAGAAGACAAGGGTGGAAAGGACAGAGCCCAAGACTCCCAGAGGATGTCTAAATCCAGAATCCGTGTCTGAATCCTAACCTGGCCTTCTCGATTGTACCTGTCCCCAAATTCTTTTCCTTAAGCTGTTCTACGCTGCTTTCAACTGATTTTGTTCTAACCAAAGTCCAACTATCGGGTTTTAAAGATACTCATTTGGACCTCCCCGCCCCCCAGCCGCTGCCCTCTTATTTGCCAAAGTCCCTGGAGTAACCATCAAATTAGTCCCAGATGGTTCAGTAACATCAGCCAAGCACTTTCAAAATAAAAATAAAAAGCAGTATTTTTGTTTTAATTAAATCCACACAGTAAGGTTCCTTCTCCCTATAATACTACCAAGCACACACACACACACACACACACACTGTCACTAGGTGTTGCTCACCTTGTTTTTCTTTTTCTTGTCTTCTCCTTCCTCCCTCCCTTCGTCCCTTTCTTCCTTCCTTTCTTTCATTTGAGACAGCCCCATGACTGTCCTGGAACTCTCTCTCTCTGTAGACCAGGCTGGTCTAGTACTCGCAGAGTGCTGTCTACTCCTGCTTTCTGGGTGCTGGGACAAAAGGGCACGTGCACCACCATACCAGACTCTCTTTTGAGGCAGAAGCTCTCACTAGCCTGGAACTCAGCAAATAGCTGAGGTTGTCTGGCCAGGGAAATCCAGAGTTGCACCTGCCTCCACCTCTGCCTCTGCCTCCCTAAGGTTGGGGTTTCGAGCAGGCAGTGTCACACCCAGCTTTGTTGCTTTGTTTTGACGTGGGTTCTGGGCACCCAACTCAGGTCCTTAATCTTGCAAGGCAAGCGCTTTACTGACTGAGCTATTTCTTACATGTCTGTGAAACAAATTCCCCAAAGCCCAAAGGCACAAAACAACAGTATCTTTCCATTTCTCATGTTAGTGGTGGTCTGGAGTGGGAGTTGGGGGGAATCAGAAATTGGGAAGAATGCAGTGAGGTCATTTGTTCCTAACCCTAAACCCTCATCTGGGAAACACTGACGATGGTGACTCCTCTGAAGGCGTGCTTTTGAGAATGGCTAGGGTTGACTTTGGCAGAAATCTTAATGGGACAATGGACTTCAATACTTACACATGGTTCCTCCAAGGCCTTGGCTTCCTTACTGCTTGGTGACTGAGTTGTGAAGGTAAAGGGGAGGGAGGGAGGCAGAGGGAGGAAGGGGGAGGTAGAGAGAGGGAGGGATGGACAGAGACTACTTTCTTATTAGAGGTATCATCACTTTGGTAAATTCTTTGGTTCTTTTTTGTCAGTATCAGCAGACTTCCAAGTTCCCATTGCTTCTGAGCTGGGATGTTCTCCAAATTACTGGAGATCACCTTGAACGTGCATCCTTCCTTTTAAACTCGCTTATCTTTCTGGGGTCTTTTTCCTAGTTTGCGGTGCTTTGTATGAGCCCCGGTTGATATGGAATCCTTACTCCCAGTGATCTATTTGCCCAGTCTTCTGGGTCTCTCTGTGAAATTTTCCCACATCAACCACCTTGCCATTCTGACAGGTCTCCCAAAAGCCTCTGATCTCCAAGGTCCCCTTCCTCCTTGTGCTTCTATGGAGGAGTTCCTATCCTCCCATTGCTCAGAGGCAGGGTTGACTCTGTACCCCGTCAAGTGTCCTGACTCCTGCTTTGCCCACTTTTCCTCCCCTGTCCTTGTAAACAGCCGCTATATTAGTCATGCACCCAGGTCCCCACCTTCTCACCTTGATTTAGTTTATCTGCTTTTTATAATGATCTCTCCATACCCTCCCCAGCTGCTTCAACTGGAATCACTCTCTGGTTTCCTAGGATTCCAAAGCTCCGCCTCTTTATTTTCTATAGCATTTATGCTTTAGAACTTGTACAGCAAGAGAAATTTATCACCTGTGTTTTTAAATAACTCATTTCATTGTAACCTAGCTAGCTGTGTTTTACAGATGAGCAAACTGGACTGGGTGAGGGACTCGGTTTAACCAAGGCCTGCCAACAAGAGCCAGCTGTGACCGTTCTCAGGCAGTCACGTGAGAGCACAAGCCACCCAGAACGGTGAGGATGGGCTGTCCCGTGTTGTATCTGTCTCCTTGTCTCTACACTTGACTGGAACAAAGCATAGGCCATTGTGAGGAGACAGGGGAGGGGAAGCCAGCAGCTTCTGCTCACTGTGCTCAGAGCCTGAGCACACTTCACCAGGTCAATCCTGCAGTCTGTGGAGTTGCTCAGACAAAGCCTGCTAGTGACTGTCCTTGAACTATGAAATTCCTGGAACTGTAGTACTTCACTATTGGAGAGTGAGTGGAAAGTCAGGGACCAAGTAGAGTAGGTGGAAGTTATCTCCACTAGAGGAAGTTGAAAGGGATAGAGGAGTCCTAAAATGATGACGTGTTGTTGGGCATGTTAACGGTATGCTGACAGCAACAGATCTACTGAGCTGTATACTTATTCAACCACTAAACAAAATCGAAGTGCTTCCTTATTACAAGACACCTCCTCAGAGTTCTTAATATGGCGATGTATGTGGTGGACTCCAAGGGGAAGGCTTCTTAGGCAGCAGCTCCTGGCCACTCAGTTCCATGTGTTCTTAGTGTGTGCATTTAGAAGCTTCGGTGCTGCTCCAAGCCGTGGCAATAGCATCCCGAGTGCATAGATGAAGGATACGCTAGTTGTTCCTTTTGTTCTGAAGAGTTAAGACAGGTGCAAGGCACCTTCTAGACGAAGAGTTATTAAAGAAGGAAGCACGGAAAGTAAGGAGCTCGACTCTCAAGCAGAGGGGTCAAGTCCCACAGGGTTAGGACAAAATCTTGGGAAGTCATTTAAATGACAATATAACTCTTCAGTAGTGATTTATTGGGTATGACACCAAATGTACAAGCAACGGAGGCAGAAGATAGATGAGTTGGTTGACATGTGACATCGATGTTAGGGATTTCACCAGAATGAAAAGGCAGCACACAAAATAAGAGAAAATATTTGCAAATTATATATATATACATACATACATACATACATACATATGGACTTGTACACAGGATATAGAAAGAACTCTTGCAACTCAGTCTTAAAAAGATGAATGACCCAGTTTGAACAATTGGCCAAGGATCCAAATAGATGCTTCCACATGGAAGCAAGATAAATGGGCGATAGTCAGGGAGGCCCAGTATCATTTGTCCACAGGTAGATGAGGTGCAATTCCACATCCATTTCCATACAGAGGACTAATAACAATATGTGGCACAATGATGTGGCAAAATGGGAGCTAGTGGTAACATAAAATGTCACAGACACTTCAGCAGAGCCTGACAGTTCACTAAAAGGTTGGGTGTTCATTTGCCACATGATTCAGAAACTTGACTCCCAAAAGAAATAAAGGGTATGTTCACATTCAAATGTGTTTGTAAATGCCTTTGCTTCATTGTTTGTAATAACCCATCAGCTAAGAAGTATGTAAACCAATGAGGCATATCCATGCAATGGCGTATTGGCTTTAAAAAAAATAAGGAAATGAAGAATTTACAGATGGACCCTATAACAAGCAGGGACTCTGGTGAGATCATGTTGTGAAATAAGTCAGTCACAGTGGACCACGGTTTGTTTGATCCCACTCACTTTGTAATGTCCTGAGTAGCAAGTCTATAGCCAGCATATAGAAGAGGGAGCAGAGCTACGTGGGGAAGGAAAGAGAAGGGGGGGGCAGTAGAAGGATGTCTACAGGGTCCTTGTCATATTGGTGGAGAGGTAATGAAAAATGACCATCCACTCCATCAAGCAATAAATGCACAACTGTGAATTCATCAGAACCATGAAATCATATGTGTTAAGTGGGTGAATCGCATAGCGTGTGAATTATTTCAATAAAACACTTTTCCTCTAACAATACAACACTAGTCTGATTCTAGGTATTCCACTACAGAACTACCAAGTATGGCGGCTGGAATTGGTTTGACCAACAGGACATGAGCAAGTGTTTTATCTGGAACTTCCTAGAAACAACTGAAAGAGAATGGACTGTTAGAATACTTGGACTTTTGACCTTCTTTAGTTTCAGTAACTGGCCTGAAACTCACATAAAATGACTAACGACTACTTGGGGACTTGAGCTGACTTTGAAGCTGGAAATCGCATACTGAAAAAGAGAAGGCAAACTTGGAGCTTGGGTCTTCGTGGTCTTGGGAGACGGGTGGCGGGGACATCAACATCCTTTGACTGCTTGCTGTGTGTGTGATGGGAGTATGCATGGGAGTACACGCAGAGGACAAAGATGATGCTGGGTGTTAGGAGTCTTCCTTGATCGTTCTTTACCATTCATTCACTCATTCATTCATTCGTCTCTCGCTGAACATGGAGCTCACTGTTTCAGCGAGGCTGGCTGGCCAGTGAGCTCCGGGATCTTGTCCCCAGCTGTGGTTACAGTTTCATGCCACCACATTCAGCTTTTACATGGTACTGGGGCTGGGGTCCTTGTGTTTTCACAGCCACCCACCAAGCCACCTCCTCCGCCCCCAACACTTCTTTGTTTATTGTTGCTGTAAACAGGGCCTTGCTATGCAGCTGGGGCTAACTCAATCACATTGCAACCTGTCTACCTCTGCCTCCTGAGCGCTGGGTTACAAAAGTGCACCGCCACATCCGGCCTTAGACTTCTTAGATCAGCGACAAACTTCTGTCTTGTTTAAGTTCCTGCTGTTTTTAATTTTCTTTTAACCAGGCGGCCTAATCCTCTGTAGCTAAAAGTGTGTTCCGAGGAGCCAATACTCAAAGCCATTTCCCTCCCTCCCACAGTATGTTTGCGTTCCATAGACTAAATGACGTTTGGGTCCAAAACAAGGAAATTAGTTCATGAATTCAGAAAACAAGACTGTCTTAATTATGTGTGCCAAGCCCTGGGAGCCAGCCCAGCACTCAATGTTTTTTGTTTTGTTTTGCTCGTTTGTTTAAGCTAAGATACAGAGTCCCTATGGAAAGAAAGAAAGGAGGATGGCAGCATAAATCAACAATGGGTGTTTTATTGTGACAAGATGCCTGACCAAAAAATACCTCAAAGAAGAACTCGGCTCACAGCTCAAGGGTGTAGTCCATATTGGTGATGTCATGGTGATAGGAATGTGAAGCTGCCGCTCACACATCAGTGTCAGCGGCAGTCAGGAAGCCAAGCTGGTGAGCACTGGAGGGAGTCCTCCTTCCTCCACAGTCTGATGGCACCCCCATTCAGGTGGTCTACCTAGCCCAATTAACTCACCCTAGAAAATCTCTCAAAACATTCCCAGAGTCTGGTCTCCTGGGTGATTCTAGATCCTGCCAAATTGTCAATCAATATAAATCATTATAGAGGGATTGTTAGATGTTGAAAACGTTGAGGAAGTTTTACTTAATTCTGCCGGGGGTGGGCCGGAGCCACGGAAAACCCACGAATGCTTGGCAAAGATTCGTCTGTACATATGCTATAGTAAGTGGTTAGATTGCGGCAAGCTAAATTTCTTCAGTGGGAGAAGAGAAAGCAGACACAATGAGCCGTTCCAGACATGGAGATTAGTTCACAACCAGCACTCCTAGAGTAGAGCCCCTGAGGACCCTCCAAGAGATGAGGGGACCTAAATGCATCTGTTCACACAAATGTGGAAAGACGGGAGTTTCTTGCTAATTAAAATGAGCCTTTCTGTCAGCTTGTCACCCTCATTGCCTTGTGGGATGGCTGTCATCACTCGGGGTTCTGGTTTGGCTTTGTTCTGTGTTGCCCACAGAAACTGGAAATGTGGATTGTTCACCTAGAAGCCAAATTGGGTATTTTCTATTAGTGATGTTTTCCAAGGAGCTTCAAAAATCCATATTTCAACACCTTGTCTGGTTCTTATAACTTTCCTTTAGGGTGGGTGAGACTGAAGAGTCTCCCCAGTTCTCAGAAAACACATCTGCCTTGGCTCTTTGGTACAGCCTAGAGTGAAATGCAGACCTGTTCCCTGAGCTTTTACCTACATTCACTGCATCCCAGAGCCCTCTGCTCAGGCCAGGACATCTAACATCACCCTTAGGACTGGTCCATAGGGCGCAGTTTGTCTCCTTATCTTCTCCGAGATGGCATTCCCCACACTGCCTCTCCACCATCCCTGAAATGCTGGTCTGCTTTATCAGGGCCATATCGACTGTCTGTTATCCCGAATACTGAGTTTATATGGTTAATTTCTGGTAAAGAAGTTGTGGGTCAGCTGATGTTGTGAGCATGAGCTCTGGTGTCAGCACACATTGATAAGCACCCCCACTTCCCTGTACCCCGTCCAGCCCATAACTCTGTGCCACCATCTCCTCATCTACAAAATGTGTGTGATGATGCTACCTACATCTTGTGTCGTTGTGATGAGCAGGTGAACACGGGCGTGCAAAGCAATTAGGGAATCCAACAATAGTCTTTCAGTATTGAAACGGCTACAGAGGAAGTGAGGCAAACTCTGAGGCTAAAGCAAAGGACTGACCTGTGCTCAGATAAAGAGTGTTCTGACTTCTAGCCTGTTCTCTGAAAACGGAATCTGCCAAAGGGGGTGGGGACAGGGTGAGACAGCCTTCAAACTGAGACTTCCGGCTTCAAGGGGAAATCCGGATCAGTAACCCGCCAGCATCTTTCCAGCCCATGTTTCTCCAAAATAAATACATGATCTTTGAGGGTTTTTGATCTGTGGTAGCCCAGCAATGAAGGGCCCATTTGAACTAAAACGCTAGCTTCCAAAGGCTATTCATACCATCTCCAATAGAGTTCACGGACACTCTCAGCCCAGTGGCTCCTGTTTGGAAAGGGGAGAAAGTTCACATGAAGGAGTGTTCCCTTTGAAGCTTACAAAAGGTCTGCTCTCCCTTCCGTTCATCAACTCTAGTCCCAAAGAGCAGACAACGCCCTCCCCAGCAGGCTACCCTACACCAAAGCAGCCCCAGCTTGCCTTGCATTCAGAACCAGCACAGCTCTGACAATTCAAAGCTCCCTGTCCTAGCTGGTCACACTGCCAGATCAAGGGAGGAGATTCCAGAGGGAAAAGTGTAGACACAGGATCTACTGGGGACTGCCTTTCAGTTCTAGTGCCTGTGAAAATGATTTCTTCTGGCTGAGTCACCGAGAGAAGTTATTTTCCCACCTCATGCCATCTATGGGAACTGCCAATCACAACCATCTCAGGCCCTCCCCATCCCATGGCTGTGGCCTGGCCAACCATAGAACTGACTCCATTCTCCTGTCTCCTGTGGCTGTGCCAAGACAAGAATACAGGCTTCATGCAGGACCAACAAGAACTTTCCACGGATGCTGTGATCTCTTGAATCCTGAGAGAGACACTGATTTTCCTGCATGATGGGAAAATAGGCATTGCCAGAGGCCGCCTCTAGCAACCCAGGAAGAGAACTTCCCAGAAGGAAGTAAGAAGTAACGAAAGGCCGGGCGTTGGTGGCACACGCCTTTAATCTCAGCACTCGGGAGGCAGAGGCAGGCGGATCTCTGTGAGTTCAAGGCCGGGCTGAACTGACAGCCTCCAAAACAATACAGAGAAACCTGTCTCATAAAACCAAAAAAAAAAAAAAGTAATGAAAGACCCCCAGAGTGGGGAGACACTCACTCAAGTCTTGGGATAAGCCGACGCCCCAGTAATTCAAGAGAGACCATTCCTGACGCAAGCACACGTGGTTTATTCGGGGAACCACTGCACTGGGGCCGAGCTCGAAACCCTTGCAGGAGCAGGGGAGTTTGACCCCCAGTAGTTGCAGTCAGGGATTTTTAAAAGGGAAAACCCATAAAGAATGGGGGAGTTAGGCAAACACCATAAAGGATGGGGAAGTTAGGTAAACACCATAAAGGATGGGGAAGTTAGGTAAATGCCATAAAGGATGGGAAAGTTAAGTGATAGCTCATTCCTTTAATGGGAGGGTTATAGGTTATCTCAAGCAAGCATTCTTTGGGCATTGTACAGTTAAACACTGAGCAGGAATGTGGTGAGCTAGTTCCTGGACCAGGGAGTGTTATCTTTTAAGTTTCTCAGGAGAGGGCAGAACAAGTTACTCTGTGTTGGGCTAGTTGCTAGGGGTCTAAAAATGTTGAGTTGGGATCTCTCAGTAAGAATAAAAAAGACAATGGCAGGGGCTGCCACCACTGTTTGTGCACCCATGGGCAGCTAGAATTTAAACAGCTCAACTCTTGGACTTGTATTAAGATTAAATTTCTATCACTTGCAACCCAAAAAGACCTAACTGTTTAAGTCCAGACAAAGCAAAGTGTCAGGTCACTTGTGCGCAAGAGACAGATACAAGAGGTCTTTTCACAGTGTCATCCTGTACAAGGGGAATTCAGGACGGCCTAGGGCTGGGGGACCATTTCATGAGAGGTAAAAAAAGACTTTACTTTCCCGCTGTCATTCTTGCTAGCTACCTAGGATCAGAGTCACTATAAAATGCACATTCCGGCCCATGGTCTCTTGGCATCCTATAACTGATCTAACTTCGAAGGCATAGGCTTGCTGCAATTTTTAAAATAAAAATGCCCCATATGTGTGTCAATCATGTAGCCAATTAAGAGGCCTCTGAATGACAATCCACCAGATCGTCAAGGTACGTTAAAGACATGGAGGAAGTTTCTGACGGTTGGGATAATTAGTCTGTCAAATGCTGCCTGGCCAGTTCTGTTGGCTAGGAAGAATTCCAGGGAGTCCAGGAGTACTTTAACAGTCAGTGTGGGGAGCAGGCACATTGAGCTCTCACCTGCTTGGCCCAGAGCATGGAAACTGGGGGTAAAGGGTGCTGCATGTGCGTATGTGCGTATGTGTGTCTTGTATGCATATCTGTGTATGCACGTCTGTGTGTTTGTATGAATATGTATATGTGATTGTATGGGTTGCAGTGTGTTGTGTGTGTTTTTCATATCTAAAGATGGCTAAGGTGAGCTTCCATCATACGGCCTCATGTATTTGTAAACCTCAGACTCCCTTCAACAATACATGTGCCTTCAAGTGGCATTACACCAGTGGTTCCCAACCTGTGGGTTGAAACCCTTCGGGAGGCACATATCAGATATCCTGCATATTTACATTATGGTTCATAACAGTATCAAAAACAGTTCTGTCTGAAGTAGAAATGAAATAATTTATGGTTGGGGGCCACCATAACATGAGGAAATGTAATAAAAAGTCGCCGCATTAGGAAGGTTGAGAGCTACTGCTCTAGACATTTCGTTTACCCAGCAGTCACTCCCTCGTCTTCCCTCCAGACCCGAACCTTTGAATGCATCAACTAAGCTTCAGATTTTATTCTTTCCTAAACCCCTTTCCTGCAACCCCCCAGATACCGTCAATAAACATTGATTGCCTTCCTTATCCCAGATGTCAAGAGAGTTCCAAGGGACAGAGGCCACTCTGCTCTCAGGGACCGAACAGAAGAGCTATGCCTACTTCACAGAGAATTGGGCCCCTCCTGCCCACATCCTCCTTGGAGAAGAGAACCCTTAGTGCTCTACTGTGGGAAAGGCAAACCAACACTATAAAAATGTTTATATACAAAAAAATTGTTTATATACACATGAGGTCCCCAAGGCAATCTGTACGACACAATAAGCATGCTGGAAGCAAACCGAGATAAAGAAAAAGCTATTTGCTGGCACCTCATTGAGGAGATCTGCGGGTGGTTAGAGGAAATACTTTAGCATCCAGCTTGCAGCCTGTGATGGAATCGGCCACCTTCCCAGGAATGGGAGGCCAGTGAGCACTAAGGCTCTCACGCTGTGGGTGAGAGGTTCAGACCTGCGCAGGAGGATTATGGTGTCCCATGACTGAGAGTGTGGAAGCTAGCAGGCAGTAACTACCCTCCCCCACAGCACGAAGCCTTCTCTCCTGTACTGGCTATCACCACCATAAGGAATTATCACTCTCCTAGAGGCTTGCAGCAGGTTTGTTTTCTCTTACAGTTCTAGGAGCCAGACAATTACGGAGCTAAGCCCAACAGCATGGGAATGTTGGCAGAGCTATGCTCCCACTGAGGGTCTCAAGGACAGCCTGCTTCTATACCTTCCTCCAGCTTCTTGAGCTATGTCCCTTGGCTCATGGCCTCACCTCCACCTGCCAAGCTAGCACTGCAGGGTCTTCTTTTTTAATAAATTATGAACATTTTTAAATGACTATTTTTACTTTATGTGTATGGCTTTGTTTGTTTTGTCGGTTGGTTTGTCTGCGTGTGAGTCTGTGTACCGCTTGTATGCCCGGTGCACATAAAAGGCTACAAGAGGGTGTGGGGTCCCCTGGGACTGGAGTTACAAACCACTGAGAGCTGCCATGTGGGCGCTGGGAATCAAACCTAAGTCCCCTGAAAGAGCAACCAGTGCTCTTAACCACCGAGCTACCTCTCCAGACCCGGCATCTTCCTTCTCCCAGTGCCCCCTGTCATGGAGGCCTCTTCTCTTCTGGCTCTATCTGATTTCCTTCTGTCTCATAAGGGTACTTTCATTGGGCCCACATGGGTAATTCCCCCATTCTTTATTTTGTGAACATCTGCGAAGATCTTAACTCTTTATCATAGCACATAATAGGTTTCTGATACTAGAACCTGATGTCTTTAAGAACCATCAATAGCCTACAACACATCCCAACACAGACGGGAAAGTGATGTTGTGTTTATGAACCAGCAGAAACAGGCACACAGCCTGAT